CCCACACACACCTGCTGCCACCCTTCCCGGTGCAGCCCCGGCCCAGCACCGCCTCCCCCCGCCCCACAGCACGTGGTGCTCTACCCGCTGGTGGCCAAGAGCCTGCGCAACATCGCGGCAGGGAAGGACCCGCTGGAGGGGCAGCGGCACTGCTGCAGCATCGCCCAGCTGCACGAGCACTACTCCCTGGGCTACCCCGACCTTGACGAGCTCCAGAGGAACCCTCAGCCCCTCATCTTTGACATCGAAGTGCTCAAGGTGAGGCACCTGCTTGCATCGGCACGGGGAAGGGAGGCCGAGGCTCTCCCCCTCCCAGCCCCGGGGCTTTGGGGATGTTCGGGGCTGGCCACAAGCACCCACCCCATGTGGCTTTGCCCTCACGATGGGGTGCCGGCAGGTGGAGGCACCCGGCTCCTACCAGCAAGACCCGTGGGCCATGACGGATGAGGAGAAGCTGCAGGCTGTACCTGTGATCCACAAAGAGGGCAACGAGCTGTACCGGCAGGGCCAGGTGCAGGAGGCAGCTGCCAAATACTACGATGCCATCGCCTGTCTCAAAAACCTGCAGATGAAGGTGGGGCTCGCCAGCCCTACTCTGGGGTGCACACAGCGCTCCCCACATCCCTGCTGGAGTGGGAGCTTCCCCTCACTCTCCATCTCATCCTGCAGGAGCAGCCTGGCTCTCCAGACTGGATCGAGCTCGACCAGAAGATCACACCCCTGCTGTTAAATTACTGCCAATGCAAGCTGCAGTGCGAGGAGTACTACGAGGTGCTGGATCACTGCTCCTCCATTCTCAACAAGTACGAGGGTAAGGAGCCGCAGGCCGGCCTGGCCGGCTACACTGGGTGCCGCCAGGGCTGGCAGGTACCAATGAGGCCCCCCCCCAGCCCCGCACTCCCCCAGCCCAACAGCTCTCTTCCCCACAGACAACGTCAAGGCCTATTTCAAGCGGGGGAAGGCCCACGCAGCAGTGTGGAATGTTGCAGAGGCGCAGGCAGACTTTGCCAAAGTGCTGTCCCTCGACCCCTCGCTGCGCCCCGTCGTCTCCAAGGAGCTGCGGAGCCTGGACGCCCGCCTGCGCGAGAAGGACGCTGAGGACAAGATCCGCTTCAAGGGCATCTTCTCGCAGTAGAACCCTCGACCCCAGCGGAGAGCCCAACGCTCTCTGAACAGGTTCTTTTAGATATTCCACATGTGGAATGGTCATTGACATTTATTAATGTTTAATACAAGTTTTACTTATTTGAAGTCATTTCAAGTGGCCCGGGAGCCCGCCACAGCCCGGTGACACGGCAGTGCACTTAAGTCACAGTATTAAGCAGCGTACAGCAAGCACAGCGCATGGTTGAAGCGCAAGCTAAAGGTGAAGCTCCTGGCTGGGCTCTAGACTACGCTCATCGTCACACCGGGAAGGGACACGTGGGGTGACACAAGCCCAAGCCTGCTGCTCTCTGCCAAATTCTTTTATTCATTGTTTGATGGTTTTATACTTTATGTTGGGCCGAGCCACCATGTCTGGGGCTGGCCAAGCTGTTTACAGCCGTGGGCGCTGTGGTGCCAAGCCTTGGCCCCAGCTCTTACCCCTTCCTGCCTGTACTCTGCACCACGTCCTGCATCGTCATGTCTCAAAGCTGCTGCTATCATCCCCAGCCCACAGTTCCTCCATACTACATCATCGTGTCAGCGTCGTAAATATTTTATATAAAATAACTGCTTGTTACTGCTATCTATATAAAACTCTGGTCGTGCTATGCCAAGATAAACAAAAGTAAAACTAGTCACAGGCACCTGGTCACTTAGAAAAATTGCTGTTAGAGGTAAATGAGGTAAAACAAAGTGGCAGGCAGGCCAGGAACAGTTCAGGGGGAGGGAGCCTGGCAAGCCCTGGCCCCAAGGCCTTGCAAACTCACTGCAAAACTGAGCCCCTGTCATGGATGTTACAGCTGCTAAATGACTGTTCTGAGGCGCACAGTCAAGAAAACTCTCTCCTGGGCTTAGGGTGTAACAGCATCTCTAACACAACAGATGTCGGCCTGGGGGTGCCCCCCACAGCCCCCCACTACAGGAGCTCAAAGCTGAGCCCCTGCTGCTGCAGCACCCCAAATCCCGCAGCCCTCGGCCCACGCCCAGCCTGAAGGTGACCTGGCAGCTTTCCTTCTCCTCCTGCCCCCACAGTCCTTCCCTCCCTGGCCTGACACCTCCTCTTGTGCCAGAGGTTTAACCCTTCATGTGATGTACAGCTCGGTGTCAGCATCCACACATACCCGAGAGCAGCCCAGAGACACCCCAGGCTGTATTTCCTGGCAGGGACAGCGTGTTTTCCCCACCAGGACACATCCTAAATTGCTCCTGACCCAAGTGCTGTGCCCCAAGGCCACCTGCCTGTGTGACACTGTCCCTGGCTCCCCAGGGCCAGGGCTTTGCTGGCAGGGGAAGCCCCTGGCCCCCATGTTGGCATCCATCGCCAAGTGGGGACAGAACAGACACAGGGGGCCGCAGCACTTCATTTTTTCATTGTTTTATTTCACACCAAAACGAAGAGAACAGAGGAACCGCTTTTGAACCCCAGCCCTTCCCCTGCCCCACGGCTGCGACACCGAATGGAAATAAATAGAGAGGGAGCAGGGAGGTGCCGCTTGCCCTGGGGTGTAACTACGCCCCCCC